TTGCAGTCTCTCTACTTCACAAGCCCTGGAAATTGTGTTTTCTTTTATTTGTTCCTCTCCCTTGCCAGAGCCAGCTCATGGGTACGAGACCTGTGCAATAAGTCAGGGCCCCATACCTAGGAAGGTCTGGGCTTAATTTAATGTTCTGTAACCAATTTGTAATTCTGAGTAGTTTTTGAATAAGGGGCCACACAAATCATATAGCCAGTCCTGCTCTTGCTGCAGATACTGAAATAGGGCAAAAACTCATACTGTACAAGAAGTGAGTGGGAGGGGTGTTTACGATCCCCTGCTTCCAAACTGAGCAAGCATTTTCCCACAGGGGTAATCCACAAAGTCCATCGTGGCTCCACCCTCCTTAGCTTCAGTGTCTTCAACGCTAAAATGTAAAGTATAGCACTTATCCTTGCATAGGACCATGAACATTGGTTGGGATCATGTAAAAAGTAGCTATCAGAGTGCCTGGTATACACTAGATATTTATGAAATAAAATCCCAGGGAGAGAGCGGGTGCAGAAACTCCGGGGCTGGAACTCTGCAGTGAAGAAGCAGGTCAGAAATCAAATCAGCTGTACTGCTTTGAAAAAGTCTATGACCCCACTTAGATCACTTGGTTTCTCCCAGACTTAATTCCTTTACATGCAATATGAGAATACTATTTACCTTGTAAAGTTGTTTTGGGATTTAAACACTTTAATATATTTTAGAACCCTAGTTCATCATCTGGCATCTAGTAGGAGATAAAACAAATGGATAATAATTCTTAGTTTGGTTCCCTTATATCACTGCTTCTACACTCAAAAACAATCCATTTATGAACGATATTTGAGATATGATCATTAGACTGTTCTTATATATTATTACAACTTTCCTGGCATTCTATGGCCTATTAAATGTGATTTTTTTTTGTATGTTAAAACAATTTTGAAAAAATATATGAAGATTCAGTTCTTTTTTTTCCGCCAGACTATGAATGTTCTGAAGGCAGGGACCATTCTTACTTTTTATCCCAGAATACTTTCTAACACGTGGTAGAATCTCAGTTGAATTAAATCTGTGTTCTGTCCTTTATGCTGACAATGAGATGATGATCTTCACAACATTCCTTAATTAGGGATTAATAATTAGCCTATCAATGACGAGGAAGAAGAAGGGGCCCAAAATAGTCTCTATCACATGTGACTCATATTGCTGTCTTCTTGGGTTTGGTTCTTGCTCCATTAAGAAGACTATTCCATGGCCAAAAAGAATATGAAAAAAATGTTCGACATCTCTAGCTATCAGAGAAATGCACGTTAAAACGACATTGAGAATCCATCTCATCCCCATCAGAATAGGTACCATGAAGAATACAAAAAACAGTGAAAGCTGAGTGAGGATGTTGGGGGAAAGGCACCCTCCCATGTGGTTGGTGGGAATGTAAACTATCATAACCATTATGGAAATCATTATGGAAAATCCTCAAAAGACTAAACACTGAAATACCATTTGACCTAGCTATTCCATTCCTGAGCATATTCTCAAAAGAAGTAAGAACTGTATACTACAATGATACATGCATACTCATGTTTTTAGCTGCATAATTCACAATAGCTAGGCTGTGGAAACAGTTTATATGCCTCCCAACATAAATGGATAAAAAAATGTGCTATATATACACAGTGAAATATTACCTAGCTAGAAGGAATAATGAAATTAGTCATTTGCAGGAAAATAGGTGAAACTAGAAACCATCAAGTTAAGTGAAATTAGCCAGACTCAGAAAATTAAATATCACATGTTTTCTCTTGAACGATGAAACCTAAAATAAATTTTTAAAAAAGGAGAGACGCTATTGATTTTAAAATCAGGAGGTAGGCTACTGGAGACAGGAAAGGGGCAAGCAGGAGTGAGGAGAAAACAGAGGGGGGAGGGTAATGGGATTGAAATTGATGAAAATACATTAAATGCACGTACCAAGTTCCCCAAATAAACCCAATAGTCATGTACTATGAACACACACTAATAAAATATAATAAAAATAAAGCTATTCCATCAGGAAAATACCTTTGTGAAACTAAACGTCTTCCATGGCACGGTTGGTACAGAGAAGCCACTGGGGGAATAGTATCCCGAAACCCCAACAGTTGAGTCATAATTTGAGGCCTCTCAGGATACAAAGGGGTCTCAGAACTGTAACTTTTAACCATTCAGGGGCTCGGGGATCCCTTTAAGGGCTCCTGATAGTTACGGACACTCTTGCAAGTAGAGTTCCAAGAGGTTCTCAGAACTCCCTGAAGACCTTGGATCCAGGGTTAAGAATTCTCATTAGAACAGCCCAGAAAACTGAATTGGCATTTTGAAAGAGTCAAGTTTCCAGATAAGTTCTAGCCCTGACTACTCACCTTCTTCCAATGAAAACAAAACAATTACAACTGTCTATATTTAACCTCAGTTTATCCTCAAGGGCCGAGTCCCAAGCAGTGATGGCTTCCAGCCAAGCAGGGGCTACTCACTGGAGAACATAAGTTCAGCTGGTTAAAATGAAGGCTTGTTTGATAATATCGTTTACATTTCCAAATCCTGGGTATCAGGCTTTCTTCCTATCCCTGTGGCCCTTCCTAAGTTTAGCCGCTGGTGTAATGGGGTAACCATGGCAACAACCACCTGCCTATTTAAAACCATCTCCAATGCTAAATAAGGAAGCCCAGAGAAAATGGCTGCTTGCCTGCCTCTCAGTGGACAAACTGAGCACTCCTAGGTGTTTTGGAGACTGTGTAAGCAGGCAGGATGGCAGCACACAGTCCCCAAGCCCTTAAGAGCAGGGCTTTTGTGACCTTGTGAAACAGGGGCTGCCTCTAGGTATCTTCATTTCTTAGGTGAGCACATGGATTTCAATGTACGTCCATGCAGTTGCCACCCCAGGCTACTAAACCACCTTGACTTCAACCAGGTACAGAGAGAGGCATATATCTACGCAATCCTAGCCTGCAAAAGTAGTTTTGTTAATGGGATCTGGAAGAAGTAAAGAAGACATTTATACAGATTACATTCAATTTGCTTGTACTTTGTATCAAAATGTACACTACAGTCTCTTCAGACAGATTTATCTAACTGTACTTAATCAGGTGGATGATTGATGATTGCTCTATTTGTGTCATATATTGACCTATCTATTGATTTCAGAATATGGGGAAATTTCCTCTCTGCTTCTTTATTCTCTACAAACTGCTGAGATTCACTTCTCTCCCACGCGAAGAGATCAGACAGTGTACCAAGTTGACCCTTACTTTTCCCCATGTGTTTTGTACTCTCACTCTTTTGTGTCTTTTTATATACAGTATTTGGTTTCTTCTCCCTGGGTTGCCCTTCTGTTTTTGCCCCTTTGTTTTTGCCTGGAAAATACATTTTTCCTTTCTGGGTCTTGGTTGCGAGTATCTCTGTCAGTGGAAAACCCTCCATGCTGAGTTCCACGCTGTTGTATTCCCATAGGACACCTCAGTCCCATCACTTACCACTGACCATTGCCACTCATCTGCCTTTCAGCCTGTTTCCATCAGGGGGCCAGAAGGGCCCTTCGCAGGTCTGCCCAAAGCACCTGCAAAATAGTGTCTGGTGTGTAGTAGGTTTTCAAAAAATACCACTGAATGAACGAATGAATGAATAGAACCCATGGATTTCAAAGGCATATGGCATCTTCATAGGCCCATGAGAATGAGTTATATGTAGTATTTGTGTGAGAAGAGGCCCTTAAAAAGCTATGGAATGGGTGTAGGAGGAGTATTTTTAAAGAAAGTGATTGTGTACACATATAGGAGTAAAAAAACCAGAGGAGAATCAATAGTATCGTCAAGTTTGTGATTACAGTAATACGGGGTGGAGGCACACATGCTAGTGGTATGTAGTGAGTGTGTAGATTCTCCCTTTGTGTGTGTGTGTGTGTGTGAGAAAGCAAGAAAGAATATGCTGTGACCATTTGTGCACATTCTAATAAACTTAGTTTAGCTGCCATTAAATCCCACAGATCACCCGGGACCTGTGGCTTTGTTATGTTCCGTTTCTGATTCCTTAGACTTTCTTCTTAGCTAGCTTCCCAGGCTGTGGGGCAGGGCCAAGAGTAAGCAAGACAGTGACCAGCTCTTTCACGTGCTGGGCTTTCAGTGAATGTCTTCAGCTAACACTCTGAATTTCTGCTTTTAAAGAGAATCCTGGGCGCCAACTGAAAGTCAATCCATTTGGTTGGAAGATCAAGCCTCAGTTACCGTCCAGCTTCCTCCCCACCTGCCTGAGGTCGGAGGTGGGCTCCAGGGGTCCCCACGAGATAGTACAAGAAAGGACAGAGAAAGGCCAGAAATTGGCCAAGAGAAGAAAAAGAAAGAAGGAAGGTAGGTGGGCATTTGATAATCCCAGGGGTAGCTATCTGGTACCAACTCAATTCTGGCAAATTCTCTCTGCATTCAAGAAGGATCTGGTTTGAAAACGACCTGCGTTTCTTTCTCCGTCGTTTTCAAACCTTACACCCAGGCCGCACACGGGGCCCTGGCTGAGGCTGGCGCAGGGCCTCTCTGCTGCTGCCCCCTGCTGTCTGGGAGGGCAGAGCGACTCCCTGCCTGTTCCCTGGCCCCAGCCCCAAGGCTGCCACCTCTTTCCCTTGGAGGCCCGAAAAGCTGAGCCTCCTGAACTGTGAACCCTTCTCCTCCCCAGGAAAAACGCGGGGCGAGGGCCGGGGAATCTGCGCGTCGAGCGGGACCCCGCGTCCCCCAGGGGCCGGCACCCGGCGCCCGCTCCACCCCCGGGTCCTCCCTCTGCACAGATGCTCGGCCGACGGCCCGCCGCAGGTTTTTCTGACACTTTCTTCCTGCTTGGAAATGGAAACCGTCCTTCCCGCAACGTGGCAGGAAAGCGAAGACCCAGGGCGGCCGGGCCAAGAACATTTCCGTGGGAGCAGGTGGGAGGCCGAGGTCTGGCTGGCTGCGGGGGGCGGGCGGGGTGCCGAGCAGCTGGGCGTGCAGCCCTCTTACCTGCTGTTGAATTTTTCAGGGTGTTTCTCTCTCATCATGTGGAATCTGTGTGCAATGGAAGCATCCTGAAAGCAGAAGAGAGGAAGGCAAGATGCCTGGTTAGTGGCTGGGGCCATGCGTGGTGGAGGGTAGGGAGTGAGTTCCCCAGCCCTAGACGACCTCTCCCAGAGGAGGCGCCAGGGGGACCAGCGAGGGCCAGCGACACTCAGAGCCTACTGTCCTGTCCCAGAGCCCTTGTCACTCTAGCCCAGGCCTGGGGAGCAGATAGGTAGTTCAGGGGCGAGAGTGAGGGACAGCCGCTGCCCTTTGGGAAGAACGAGGGTCTTGGAGCTGGCAGACAGCAGAAGCCGGCTGTGGACCTGGCTATGTCTTTGGAAGTCCCTTGTCGTATTGCTGTTGTTTTTCCTTTTTGGAATATTTTGACTCACAAGAAGTGCAAAAATAGTACTGAGTTCCTAGGGCCTTTTCACCCAGATTCCCCCAAGGCTAACATCTTACATAACGACAGTAGAACGTCAAAACCAGAAAGCTGACATTGGGGATGCTACTGTGCGTTAACTCTTAACCGTCTGTATTAGTAGAAATCATGAGTGGCATAAGAGAGCAGCCTTGTAGATAATAAACATGTCGAACTTCTAGTTTCTGCTTCCTGATCATTCCACCCATATCCTCCAAGGTCAAGAAGAACTTGGAACCACAGCCTATGGACACTTTGTTGCCTTCCTATTTTGACCTTCTTGGCTGCACTCTTGGCCACCTGCACCTCAGAAGTCCCCCTGAGGATGATCCCATGATACTATGTTTCCAGGCTCTCCATCCTCTGGTACAAACTTCTTAGCCCCCTGCCCTGCCTGCAGCCCACACTGCCATCGTGGGCAGCTTCCTGAGTTCTCGTGGCTGTTCCTAGCATCTAGATGGTGGCACTACCACAGTCCACAGCTCTAGAACCAAACCTGAGACTAAACTCAGTTTTCCTCTTCAAACTTGGTCCTCCACCCTTGTTAATGGTCTTGTTTTCCAGCAAAAGAACGTGTTTCTGGCCCTCCCTGCTCAGACCTCACGCTGGCACTGTAGGTGCAGGTGCTGGGTTTCAGAAATAAACAGGCGAGTTGGACTGGAGATGTGGGCCATCCAGAAACAAAAAAGCCCATTCAGATTTGGTCAGGAAGCAAAAAAATGCAGGAACCCTTTTACTGGACTATGTGGTTAAAAGATGTCTGAAATCCCATATAGCAGATTTCCAGCTAATGCATATTCCATTTCTTGATAAAGAGACTCTATAAAGGAACATTTCTGAATGCAGATATTTTCTTTGGCTTGTTTTTAACATTAGCAGGTCTAGTTTAGGGAAGAAGCATTGTCGAGCACATAAGTGCGTGTGATGAATTACACTTGGGATAGGAGTGACCCCAGCCAGCAGCCACCATTTGAAAAGAAGGAAGGGCAAGTCAAGAAGATGGGATTGTGGCTGGGTCTGTGGTTGGCAAACACTCCTTACTGAAATTATGTCTTGGGAGTATAACAATTAAAGTATAGTTACTGGTTTAATTTTTAGTTTAAAACGCATCAAGAGTTGAAGGGGTGGCCGAGGTGCCCCTGTGGACACTTGGTGGGAAGCATGGAAACCCCAGTGTGGCCCCTCGCACCCCCAGACGGTGCCTACTTCCCTCACTCTGGGTAAGTCTCAGTGAACATGCTCAGTAAGGTGCACGTGACACATGTCAGACGCTTCTCTGGTATTCAAGAAAACATTCCATCTACTTGTATCCTTTTGAAGCACTGATTTTCTTCCATCAGGAAAGGAAGAAAGAAGAAAGCAATCATATATAGCTTGGCACAATCTGTACTTCACTATTCTTGCCCCCAGTACAGCTGCCCCTGGCTCTGGGTTTTTAATTCTCTGGAATATTGGCACATGCCCTCCCTCAGTACAGGTCTAATTGTCCTTGGTTTTTCCATAACTGGTTTTGCAGGGCTTCTTTTCTCAAAGACCAGCCTTTATAATGTTATTAGTTTAGCATGTGGTTCCTATTTTGACAGTGTAATCCCTTGGGCAAATACAAAGAGAGAGAGAGAGAGAGAGAGGAGAGAGAGAGAACACACTGAGCAGCTTCTCTGGTGTTAAATTCTGAAGAGGTGATGATGGTAAAGACTGGCTGTTTTTATCTACCTGGGGATTAAAAAAAAGAGTCAAGGTTCCCTCTCTTGAGCATCTCCGTGTCTAGCACTGACTTTGACATATTTACAATCAGTAGTGATTTCATTTGAATTTTAGGAAACAGGGCTACAATGGTCCAAATCCTTTTTTAGTGATGATTGCAGCTAAATGACACTTCCGTTCGGAAGGGGGGGAGGTGATGGGAATTGCAAACCCATGAAAGTGATGATGACACTTCTGGCAGCCTCACTATCTGGAGCATTTTCTCGGCTGCGTGGCATGAAGAGGAGATGATGAGAGGTATGGACATAGAGCTGTTCTTTCCTGAACCAAAACTCCAAGCAATAGTTGGAGCAAGAATTTTGGCCCTTTTCCAAGCTGTTATTTGGACTCTGAGATACTGGGATGTCTAGGCCAGGGCTGTCTAACAGAAATATAGTATATGTCATATATGTAACTTAAAATTTTCTAACAGCCACATGAAAAAGTAAAAAGAAACAGATGAAATCAGTTCTAATAATATATTTTAATTAACCCCAAATATGACATGCTGCAAATATTATCATTTCAAAGTTAATCAGTATGAAAATTATAGGAATATTGTAAAATCTTTTCTTCACATCACATTTTTGAAATTTGGTGTGGATTTACTCTTATGGTACATCTTAATTTAGACAAGCCCATTTCAAGGGCATGATAGTCACATGTAGTTCATGGCTACCGTATTAGGCAATGCAGGGGAGGTCATTTTGTCTACTTATGGAATAAAAAGACAGGAGACAATGGGCTAGATTATTTGTAAACTGGAGTGTGCTGAAAACTTCTGGCACATTGAGGAATGGAAAAGAATGTAGACTCCTGGTCCAAGTCACTCCTTAGTGAGGGCCACTATCCTAGTGCCTTCACAGGTGACAGATAAGGTGACTTGATGCTGACAGAATCCAGAAGTTTGCAGGGAAAGGATACTCTGTTGACAAATTCCCTAATGGGCAGAAGGATCCTCATTATGGAAAAGCCAGTTGGCGAACTCTGACAACAGTCAGTAAGGAAGAAAATGGCACATAGGTCAGTTCCATGACTGTGGCCTCTCCTCACCCCTGGGCTCCCCAGCATCTGAAACAGACTTCATTGAATCAAAGGGTTCACGCATCCTAGTAAGGCTCAGTGAAAGCAGAGCCTGTGAGAAGTTCAGAGTTGCACATTCTCTAGGAATTATTTTGTAATCCCAGACTTCCTGTCACTGATACCTGGCCATCCTGACATTTCTGCTAACTCAAAAATAGAGAGTAGAGAGGAGGAAGCCAGAGAAGTCAGCGGAAGTGATGTCCTGGACATGACTATATTTAACATCTTTTGTCAGTGCACATTCTCAGTTAGAAGGAGTGATACAGCCAACTAGGTTAAGTCCTCACTGGTGGGAAGCTAGCACATGGATGGGGATACGGTGGCAATGAAGGCATAGTCACTCCGTGGCTAGGCCAGCAGAGTCTGTCTTGTTTAACCCTCTCACTATTAAGTGGGCTCTGTTGGCACTAAAGGGACTGAGTGAACTCAGGGCAGAATCCATCCACAGCAGCCAGGGACTCCCTAGCAGTGGTTGGTATCACCATCTTTATAAATGTAAAGAAGCAGCCATTTGTATCAATAAGACCTTCAGAACAGGCCAAGACTTTGCAGGGATCTCTTTGCAAAGGACTCCGACTCTATTTAATCATAATAAGGAAGTGAAACCAGGTTGGTTTACATACTACTTCTCTTACAAAGTTTGGGAAGTCAAATAGGGCGCAAGACCTTCTGCAAATGTCAGCCCCGGACTCTGTCAGGGTTGCGTGTTGGTTACTTGTTTTATCAAGCTTTTCTCCTTCCAACTTTTAAAGAGCGAACACACAAACCCTGCAAACATTTTATTGAGAGAAGGCTAAGGGTGTGCAATGAGATAAAAACAGCCCTGGTTCCTTACTCCTTTGCAAGATAATATTAAACATGCATATGCTAAAGGTACATGAAAAGAATCATGAGGAAGATATTGTGAAGTTCTTCATAATTTGAAAGATAAATAGATTGGAATATTATAAGTCAGCCCGGGGAAGATAAATATTTTGACCACTGAAGGTGATGGAGGTTCTGTTTATATGTGTTTCCTTGGGGACAATTCCCTCCTTCCCTCCCTCCCTCCCTTCCTTCCTTCCTTCCTTCCATCTGCAAGAACAAATCAGAACCATGATTACTGATGCAAGAACCATAGCTGTTGGGTTTATGGTCTGGATATCCGGTTGAGTAGTGGTTGTCCATTTCTTTTCTGGCATGCACATCCATTTAGTCAGTAAATACTGACAGACTACCGTCTTAAACAGGACAGGGCACTGTGCAGAGAGACAGGGAGGTGCTGGGAACCATGTTGCTTTTGTCAGCCAGAGCTGAGTGTGTTAAGAAGGGAAGATTTGGGGCTGAAGTTCCTGAAGGCAGCCATGACTGTAATCTACCACTGGGACTACAGTCTGGCTTTCCTCTCCATTTATTTCAGTTCTGGTTTCTGTGCTGGGAAGAGCCACTATCTTTAACCATTCTGCTCTGCTCTAAGAGGTTTTCTTTACTCTGAGCTCTTGGTCAGGACCACGTGCATCAGAATGATCCCAGGGGCTGGTTAGAAATGCAGATTCCCAGGCTTTGCCCGGACTGGCTGAGCCAGAAGCTGCACTAGAATTGGTGCTGGGGGTGGAATTTGCATTTCTGATAAGGGGCACTGAAGAACCACCAGACACTAAGTTTTGAGATTCCCCTGCAGCCTGTTGCCTTGGGCAGCATGAAGACAGAGGGGCCGTGCAAAGCCATGACTCAGCTGGACTAAGAGCTCGACAGCGATGAGTCCAGGCCCCACGCTCACCATTGCAGAGCGTTCTGTAGCTCACTAAGCTACAACTCCTTACAAAGCACGAATGCACAGCTGCATCTACCCATAGGGAAGCTGAGCCCGGGGTGCTGTAGGTGCACAGTAAACATCAGCAAGCTGTACTCTGGTTACTACAGGAGAAACGCATGGGGTTTGCTAGAACTGATGATGGGGAGCCCCCGCTGTAGGGGCCCCCTGAACACCAGACTGCAGGGCTCCTTCCTGGGGAAGTGGAGTCTGGTCAAAAGGTCTGAAAAGGAGGAGTCTTCGAGCCGGGAGAGGCAGGAAGGCTCTGTACAGGTCACTCAGAGCAACCCGGAGGAGGCGTGGGGAGAGATGCCCCCAACCCAGGCTGAGGCCTATGGGGGATAAACCAGTTTTGGGGAACAGGAACCTTTAAACTTGCTCCCAGTTCACCACTGCTCCCCATTCAGAGCCTGACCGTAAGGCAGCAAGGCCTCTTTTTTCTGTTTTACTCATAGAAAGAGAGAGTTGCCAGGGATATAGCTCAGTGGTTAGGCCGTCTGTCTCGAAAGCGCAAGGACCTGAGTTTGATCCCTGGCACCAAAGGGGAAAAAAAAAAAGCACTGGCAGAGGAGTGGGGAAATAGGGCAAATCTCTAAGTTGGAATCTCTGTTTCCTCTCTGGTAAAATAGAGGTAATAATGTATTTCAATGTAGTCATGAGAATGAAAACAATCAGGCCAGGGATAGCAGTGCCTGCGTGTAGTCTCAGCTCACTGGGGGGCTGAGGCAGGAGGATCACAAGTGTGAGGCCAGCCTGGGCAATTTAAGTGAGATCCTGTCTCAAAATAAAATAAAAAAAGGTCTGGGGATGTAGCTCAGTGCTTCCTCGATTAAATCTCCAGTACCACCATTACCACCCCACCATCAGCACCAACAACAAAGGAATCAAAAAGCCTGTGCATGTGGTAAATTTTAAATTCTTCTGTAAATATAAGGCATTAGTTTTAGTCTTTCCCATGCTTCTGTTTTTAGCCTTCTTATTAAAGACAAAACCCTTTCCTTAGGCCTGCTATCTCCTCGAGCTAGCTACCCCCCCCCCCCCAGACACATTTGCAAAAGAGGCACAGGTGGGGTTGGCTGAGGCAGGCGGGTGTCTTGCAGTCTGGGGCCAGAGGATTGGCCTAGGGATCTGGAACTGAGCAGCATAAGTGCAGAGACAAGGAGACCGAGAGGGAAGGGCCTGACGTGTACGATAAGGCTCAGCGGCCCTAGTCTGCCTCTTACTTATCCAGTCTTGAGGCCTCTTCTGGAGACCATGGTGTCTGCTGGGCATAAGGAAAACCTTGCACAGCGGTGGGCACACGGGAAGTGCTCCATAGAGGCAAGTGTCTTCACTGTGCTGGCGTCTCGAGCCCTGGCTCTACTTGTGGATGTGAGTGATCCTGTCACCCCTGTTCCCTGTCCTGCCCCCAACGGCTTGGGAAGCAGGGTCCACTCTGTTCTCTTTGAACCAGAAGCTGAGTTCAATGAGAGAAACGCCACACTAGCTGTGCTGGGGGCTGCGGATGTAAGAGAAACACAACTCTGTCCTTGTGTGTGTGTGTGTGTGTGTGTGTTTGTGCGCGCGCACTTGCATGTGTGGGAATGGAGTGACTCAGGCGCATTAAACCCAGCCATTTAATCTAACGCACAGAGCGCATCAGTCAGTGAGGATAAATGGCGGTGGGAGCACCCAGGGGGAGCACCATGCACAGCCCAGGGGCAGCAAGGGGAGGCACACCCAGAGGCTTAGGAAGCCCTAGGACTGTGTGGGCTGAGGAGAGGAAGAAATTCTGAGCCCCAAGTGGCCAAGCCAGGTGGCACCACGTGGTCCTCTCTGAGGATCAGAATCCCCAATTCCCAAAGCTCATGTGAAAGTTTCCTGTTGACCTGGTCCCTTGGTTATTTCTTGGTATTCGTTTTCTTTAGCTGCCTCAGATTACCCCAAAGATAAATAAGTCTTTGAGAAACTTCTAGTCTTTTCTTATGTTAGTTAAAATTATAGAGGAAAGAGGCTCCTGCATAATCAAGGGGCGGAGGTGTTGTGTAATCAGAGCATCCACGCCCATGCCGGAATCACAGATGCTCACACCCAAGTCAGGGCTGGGAGTGGTCGGGACCGGCAGAGCAGGGGCCCAGCAGTGACAACGGACAATCGGAGCCCTGCTTGGGCACTTCCCTGTCATGCAGAAAGGTGGTCTCTGACCAACTCACCACGCCGATGGAGAAGTAGTTGTTCATTATGCTGTACGGGATCTGGTCTCCATTCTCCACCTCCTCTCTGGGGATGACTTCCAGATACCAGCGGTCCAGCATCACCAAGGGGCTCTGCTCAATGTCCTTGAGGATTTTTGTCAAGCTGCCCCCTTCGTAACCTGTGGAGGATGGCTTTGCATTTGCACAGGTAGCCTCAGGGCAGGCAGCCCCCGTGGACACCTGTGACCAGGAGACTCCCAGTGTGTCTGTGGGCTGCAGACACTGTGTTTCCTGAACCACGGAGAAGGGGAGGACAAGAGAGACCGATGTAGCTGAGGGGAGGTGCGGGCTAACCACAGGCTCTGAGAATCGGTAACACAATGGCAGGGAAGCTGTGGGTGGGAGATAACATCCGTTCTAAGACACTGTCATGTGGGAGATGGACAGCTAGGTAGGCAGAAGGTTAAGATGCCCCTGGGGTTGGCTTCTGCTTCCTCCGAACCTGCCCACCAAGCAAGAATCAGTCTCCGAACACAACACTTCCCTACCTGGTCTTGAGTCTCTCTCTGACTTGACCAGCCACCTGGACTCCCCATCCTTCTCTGCTGCCAGACCCATCTATCTACTCAGTGTTGTGTTGAGCTCCATGGGGGCTGCTGCCATTTGTAAACTTCTTCTTAGCTCCTGCCCCTTGTACGATAAGTGGGTTACCACTCTGCACTCCTACCCCAGGAAAAACTCCAAAATGGGAGTCTGAGGCCCCAGGAGCCTGGGCTAATCTGGATGTTCCTAGGAACTCTGAGTAGCTGGTGATGGTGGTCTGCATTCTGCATCCTAATTCATTTTGTAAAGGGGAAAACTTCACACAGAAAACACCAACTAGAGATCCCTATTGGGATGAGACCTACTGGGTCTCAACTGGGGGCCTACTGGGGAGGGCACGGATGAGAGGTGGTGTTTACTCTAAAGTTGACTACTGGGGGAGGTGGGCTTTGGGCTGATGGTTCTGGGATGATAGCGGAGATGCGGAGGGGAGAGAAAGGGCTTCCTGGAGCCCAGTGAGGGGCTCCTGTAACAGGCCCATCATGGAAAGGAGGACAGGAAAGGGTCACAGATTGGGTAGGACTTCCACTGACTATTACCCCATGGAACGGGATCCGGAAAAGGGTCAGTGCCACCCAACTTTGTAGAGCATCCCTGTAAACCTGAAAACTCGTCCCCAGGGTGGCACCACGTGCACGCAGACTCACCTCCACCCCAGCGGAGACACCGGGCAAGGTCATTTCCTGTTCCAAGAGGCAGGACAGCCACAGGTGGATGCTTTGTAAGGTTGGCCTTGTCTGCAACCGATACAAAGGAACAGAGAACCAAATGCCCTGGGGCTACAGATTCTTTGGGTTATCATCTTATCCCTGGTCTGATGCTTGAGTCCCCTGGAAGCATTGTTTGGTTGAATACCTCTGGTGATGGAGGACACACTACTTCCAAAGCCTTATTCTACCTGAGATGTGTTAACCACCACACACTATGCCAAGCCTGTCAATTTGTGCTTCATACTGAGCTAAATCTGTCTCCCTGGGACTCGCACCTGTTTATCCAAATTTCATCCTAATTCTGTTCTTCGAGGTGGCCTGGTTTTAACCCTTAATGGTAACCAGTACATGCTCCCGTTCATCTCCCAGACCAGCTCTGCAAGGCGTTCTCCTTGTAGATGAAGAAATGAAAGTTCATCAAGGGAAAGTAATTCCAGAGCCAGGATCCAAACCCAGATCTCTGTGGCTCCGAGTCTATTCTCCTCTTTTTAGGGGCTAAGCAGGTGCCCAGACTAGTATAACTGGTGTGTCCAAAACACTAGGGAATGGCGGTGCTTTGGGAAAACTGAAAATGCTCACCTAAAGCTATTCACATTTCTAAGTTAAAAAACAATAACATGGTGTTAAATAAGCAAAACCTCCTGGAGTTATCTGGCGCCTACGTACCAGTTTATTATTTTCACCACTTCCCAGAATTGTAAGTACACAGATTCCTTCTCTTCTCTCCCCGTGATGGCTGTGAGGGAGTAGCAGACAACCACTGGAGCAAGCGCAGCGGAACCTGTTTTCATCTGCTGCAGATCTCCAGCAGCACACTGGCCTGACTGGGATGGCTGGAGAAGGAGGTGCAGCACCCACCGAGGTGTTTATATAGAACTGTGTGTTCATGGCGGCCCTGCCTGTGAGGGAGGTGGTTATGGGGCGTGGGAAGCTGCAGGAATCAGCAGGTGAGGCTCCAGGTGGGGCTGTCCTGGCAAAGTGGGAGCTCACAGGTCCCCCGGGTTGTCTGCTCTGTGCCAGGAGTGACAGCTCGGCCACCACCCAGGGCTGAGATCACCACTGGAAGGACTGAGACAGAAAACAGAGTGGTGCCGGGTCACTTGATTCCAGTTTCTGCTCCTGGCTTTTGCACATGCTGTTTTCTCTGCCCGGAAGTCTCTCGTTCCCTCCTATCTGTTCCTTCCTGGTCCCCAGCACCTTGTGGGCAGGTCAGCCATCCTCACAGCACTGAGCCTAGAAGCCTATGGGGCATCCTGGGTTTTCGCTCTTCCTCGCCCCATCCGGTCACACATCACTTCCTGTGTACAGTCTCCCAGCAGTCTCTCCTTGCCATCCCCATGGCGACACTGGAGCGTGGATTTGACTGCCTCCCCTCCTCCCTGCCCTCGCGAGCCACAGGCTCCTAACATTAGGGCGCTGCTGGACTTCCGCAGAGGCTCTCTATCCCCAGGCTCTGGCTTCCTCCCTGGACTCACCAGCCTCCCCCTCGATTTAGGGTTTCCGCCCGTAAATCACAAGGCTCTGCAGCTCAGCTCAGCAGCCACCTCGGGGACACCCTCCCTGGGTGCCCGGGCTGGACCTGGCTCCTCTCTAAAGCGTGCCCTCAGTGCCAGGCACCATCCCATCACACTGCCTTGTGGCTGCCTGCTCGTTCCCCGGGCACAGTGTGTCCCCTGGGAGAATGGGTCTCATTCACCCTGGCGGAGGCCTGCTGGACGGCAGGTGCTGCAGCTTGCACGTGGGCAAAGGGCCTAGCACCTTGGCGCACCACCTCACGTTCGTGCCCCAGAGGAGAGGAGGGCACGTTGCTCTAAGGGTCAGCGGGCCCTGCACTGTGCAGTTGTTCCCTTTACCTCTGCGTTTTCTCTTAGCGCCACTCAAGAGCGGCCCTGGCTCTCCCTCCTCGCTCCCAGGCTCCTCCCTCCTCCCACGGCAGCTCCGCAGCGAGGTGACAGAGCGTGGGTGGCTGCTGGCAGGGCTGTGTCCATGGAAACCCGAGCTCTGGGGGGAGCGGGGGTGGCAGGTGCCTCCTGACCCGCTGCAGGTCCGCTCCACCCGGCTCTGATCCTGGCCCACCTGAGGCTTCTCTCGCCCTTTCATCTCCACATCTGGGCCCTCAGAAACCGAGTTGCTCCACCTTCGGAGATGTCCGCAATCGGGCACTCCTCACTGCCCACGGTTTCTGCTGGCCACAGTGGGCTCCTGGCCAGCTTTCCCGCTTCTGCCCTTGTCTCTTGGTTCGTCCTCTCCTCCTTTGCTGACACCTTGGGATCTCCCAGAACAGAAGCCACGTTCTATGTAATGTCCTGAGGTCCATATGACCTGGCCCTCACTTCCTCTGCTTCATTCCCTGTAATGCTTCCTGCATGTACTCTGCTCTGGCCACACTGACCTGCCTTTGCTACCGCAGCCTGCTCCTACCCCAGGGCCTTTGCACTTTCGGTTTCTCCTCCTTGGACTGCTCTTCCTTCAGCTCACCCCTCCTCCAGATCTCCATGCAAACAACTTCTTCCCCCTCCCTCTGAAGGCTTTTCTGACTGCTGGGTTGGACACTGCAACCGCTTCTCATCCCGTGCTGGGCTTCTTGTGCCCTTTTTCTATAATAGTTTCTAAATTATCCTCTGGCATTGTACGTATTTCTTCTTTCTTTCTTCTTTTTCCCTCCTCCCTCCTTCCCTCTCTCCCTCTTTCTTCCTTCCTTTCTTCTTTCTGTCCTTTTTTCCTTCCTCTCTCCTTTTCTTTCTTCCTTTCTTTCCTCTTTCTTCCTTTCTTCTCTCTTTCTTCCCCTCTCCTTCTTTCCTTTCTTCCCTCCTTCTGTCTCCCTCTCTTCTTGCCTGGCTCTTGCTGTGACAGGAGCTTGTTCACTGCTGTAACCCCAGGGCCCCAGGGGGGTTGGCACAGGTGGATGCACAGGTAGCCTTTGTGGACTGAATGAGGAACACGGGAAGCAGCCCAGGCTCAGGGCTGTGGGGCCCCTCACCTCAGTGATCCCCCTCCCCAGTGCTTCCTTTCCGCTCCTTAGTTCCACACCATTTCCCTGGGTTTGTAGATTTTGAGACCTCGAATCACAAGCTTTCTCCACCAGCCCCACCACCTCCTGGGTGCCATGTGGCCTTGGGCCTGCAGATCCAGGCTGGGCAGCAACTTGGGATGCAGGTTCCCCTCGCTGCCCTTTCGATCCAGCTGTGCGGGACACAGGCCAGCCTGGCCTTTGCTTGTGCCAGTTTGTACTTTGCAGAGGTGCTCTCTGGACTCGGATCCAGGGGTTCATCTCCAGGCGGTTTGCCCCGGCTGCTCATCTGTGCTTAGTTCTCAGCTTCTCAGCACTGGACCTGCCTGAACCCCACGCCTGCCCTTCCGCTCCCTCACATTCGCTGGCTCTGCTGCCGTTCCAGCTCTGGCCACAACAGAGGCAAAGCTTGCAACAAAACTGCTATCTCTACCTCTGTGGGGATCTTTCTGTTGTCTTAATTGCTTTTTTTTTTTTTCATTCAAAGCAGCTATTTAGTCCAAGGGCAGACACCAGGCTCCGGCTCCGTTTCTCTCTAATTGCCTTCTGCTGACTCAGATGTACTCATGAGCGCTCGTTCTTACCAATGCAATCCAGAATCCAGCCGACTGTGCCATCTCCTCCACAGGCCAGCACCCGGAAGTCTGGAGTGTCACAGAAAAAGTTCAGCCTGCGAAGGAGAAGAAAGGCCACCGTGGCCTCGTTACTGGGCTGTGGCTGACCTCGGATGCAGGCCGAGTCAGTCTCCCTGTTCCCCTGGAGCATGTTGGGACCTTGATTCTTTGGGAGTCAAGAGGGTCACTTACTGTTTGAATCACCATATGTGCCACAGAGTGTGAGAAAAGTCCCAGGAAGCCAACCCTGTCTGAGCAGCCTCCACATCCGCATGAATAGAAAACCCTTTTCCAGCATCTTCTACTATTTGGCCAGGGGAATCCACAGTTTGCCCATTTGGGCACCAGTACAAATAATTGCCGATATTTTGATCCCCTTTGGATTCTCCTGCCTGCTCTATCTGTGCTGGCTCCCCTGTACACGGGATGCACAGAAGTAGCTGGACGGTCACTTCACAGAGCTAAGTGGAGCCTGCATCCTGCTTCCCCCAGGAGCCGGACCCTCTGGAGTGGGCTCTCTACCTGGGCTCCTTCACCTTCCAACAGGCTTGTGGGTAGAATTCAGAGGGCCAGGAACTTGAGGGAGAAAACATTACATTCATATCTTCCTTAAGCACTTGCTGAAATTTAGCATTTCCTTCACATTCTGAGTGTAGGCAACAAATCACAGAGCTATTAACCGTACTGTGACTTTGTCAGCAGTCAGAATCACAGATAATGTTTTATGACAGTTGTGGCATGCATCGAATCTTACCATTTTTGTTCATCACTGCTTTGATTTTACAGTTATTAGATGGACATTGCCATTTAATGCACTGGTAAAGCATATACATTTCCATATTATAAATTTGTTTTTAAATGTTTCAATAAATATTTTTTAACCTAATAAGTTTCTCCAGTGATCCTAAATTATTTAATTTTATGCCCTAGGAAATACTGCTCTGAGAAGGGACCTGTTGTCTATCGACTGCTAAAGGGGTTTGTGGCACATAAAGGTGAAGAACCGCTGCTTTAGAACCAGCATGCCCTGTGGACCCCTGGGCAGCAGACTGGGGAAGCTGAAGGTTGAGACCACCTCTCCGCCCAGGCTGGTGGTCTGAGAAGACCCCCAGGACTCCCTGAGTCATGGACACCTGAGTAGGCAAACTCACATTCCCTCTCTTCCGCTTTTCTGATAGTAAAGTCCCTGTCTGATCTCAGATGAACAAGCACATCAGAGACACTCAGGATCCACGGGCCCTGAAAGCAAGGTCGTGCCTGTCACCCACAGTAATGACAATTAGGATAAAGCTAGAGGACTGCGTTTAAGTACAGAAATATCCTAGAAGAGCATGGGCCGCTCCAGGTGTTTGTGGCTGCTGCTCAGGCACAAGCCTGTGCTATCCAGCAGTAATTGGCAGTCATGGGGACCATGAAGGCAACTGCAGCGGACTAGGTGGGCCCTGTTCTGAGGTTAATTTTACAGGTAGGAGTACTGGAGTTGTATTCACCTATCTTTCTCCTTGTAATGGGTTCTTGTATGGCCATTGCTATAAATAGTGTGTCAGACAACCGAAGACAAGGACAGAGTCTATTTTTAGAATCCTTACTGGTACCAGCCCGGGGAGAGATTTCGTGGAATCCAGAAGACAGATGATCCTTAAGAGGTGGGAAAGTCTTGTCCAACATGAGCAGAGAGCTCAGGCTGGGACTGGCCAGCAGATGGCGCTACAGCACCAGCTCTGCCAACCTGGTCTTTCAAGCCTCCCACCTTTGCTGGAGGGACGTCTGATTAGAGGGACCATGAAGATAGCAGCTCACAGAGCTTTGCCAAGAAGCTCAAATAAGTCACCAGCTCGCCCTTTTTGCCAATCAAATACGTAGTATATGCAGTTTTCCCTTCTCACAAAATCAACTTTTTTGGGGGGACAAGGTACAGAGATTACTTCCCAAACCTCATAAAGATGTGTTCCCAGCATCTCCAGAAGGAGTCAGTGTGGGATTGGAGACAGAAGAGACTAAGGGTGTCAAGTGGCAGGAGGGACGAGTCCAGAGATAAAAGAGACGTGCAGAATGACAAGAAAAGTATCTTCTTCAGAGAGTAAAGAGGAGGAGGAGGAGGAGGAGCAATAAAATAAAGAGCAATAAAGATGATTGTCTTCATACCCTAGAGTAGGTCCCCCATTGTCCAGGTTGAAAACTTGTTTGGGGTTGAGCAGGTAGTGGAATTTTCGAAGAATTCTATAGGGAGAAAGGAAGGGAATGAGAAGACAGAGGAGGAAAATGTCACTGCGAGAAGTCACACAAGGACAAACACTTCCACGCTCCCGCAGCAGTGGGACAGAACACTCCTGGAAACCGAGAGAGACCGCTGCATGCAAATTCTGCTATCCCAATCCGCAGCCCCTGCTCGGGGTCGCCGCCCATCTAAGCCTGTGGTCCCCACACTAGGAGCCGTGTCCCTGCAGGGGACAGGGTAGAGAAGCCCGGAGCACAGACGCTTCTCCCCAGTGCTTCCTCCATAGAGACCTGGTGCCAAACGCCATGGATGGCCTGTGCTGTGTGATCCTGCCCTTTGTGCACTGTCCCAAGGCATCGGAGAGCTGGGAGAGGACCCTGCATCCCAGCTCCCGGGAAATGCAGGGGAGGCAGGGGTGGGGCCTGAGAAGCAATGGCTCCACCCGGGCTGGGGTTCTAGGCCCTGGCTCAGGAGATGTGTCCTGCCCCCTGGACTCAGGTAGTTCTTACTTTATCCTATTTCTTACTCTTTTTTTATTAGCCAGGATTTCAAATGAGCAGATGTGTCATCTGCTGGTTGCCCCTGGACAGACTTGGGAGGCAGAGTCGCTTTCTCCCTTTTGTGCCTCTCTCCTCTCTCATTCTGCTTAGCGGTCTCCAGCTTCTTCATGGATGAGGTGGGTGTCCCACCTGCTCGGGGGTGGCGCAGGCCAGGAGGTCCCAAGCAGGTGAGTCCCGCCACGTCTCTTAAATCAAGACATTGGAGACCAATGTCTCCAGAGAAAGAACCAGTATCTCTGAAGTCCCCAGGAGCCTTGGCAGCGGCTCACGTGACAGGCCCTGGGCCAAGCACTGAGTCTATTCTAATTCTTAACCCCATGAGCATACATATTATCTTGATTTACAGAGGAAGAAACTGAGGCATGAGGACATTAAGTCACTTGGGCTGGGCAGTGCTGGGATGGGAGCCTGGGTCCCCACCTACATAGTTACATAGTTCACTCTCTGTGGTCCAGGGGTAGAAGGGGCCTGGGTCTTTCAGCTTTGTAAAAGAAGAGCACGTACCTTTCTCCTTGTCTCCCTCCGCTCTTAGGGTTCACCAAGACCAGCAGGGGGTGGGTCCCTGGGGTGGGGATGATCTTATACTTAAAAAGGAAAAGAAAAAGAAATGAGCTCTGATTTGTCCAGGAAGATGGCGAGAAGAGAGATGATGCTAAGACAGACTCAGAGAGGTGGATGGGAAGCAGGCCCAGGCATGGAGGAGAGGCGGTCAGGGAGGTGGGTCTTGGTCCGATGGCTGAGTCTTTTGAGGGGTGAAGCAGCTAAGTGTTTCTAGCTCGAGTGGCCTTTACAGAGTGTTAATGGCAATGAGGGTCGGAGGCTGGGGTCAGAGATGGGGCAATGGCACTGTAGCTTCAAATCATTCAACAATGGTGTGGCATTGTGCCCGCAGCACAAGGTCAAATTTTGTGAGGGACACAACTAAATACAATCTTAGAAGGTACGGCCATGTGGTCATACGCATAAATAGAATCATGCTCATGGAGCGAAAAAATCACTTCCGCCCTGGCGTCTTCCAAATCCGTATTTCCAGACCCAATTTTCCTCCTGAGTTCTGGGCCCACACTTCTCATTGTCTAGCGGGTGCCTGCAGCTGGACGGCTGAGCCACAGTCCCGAGTCAATCTGTCCTGATCCTGACTCTTCTCCCTTCCCTCGAGACAGACCCTCTCTCCTGGGGGCCTGAGTGAACTCAGCCAGGCATCCAGGGAAGATCCTGGCTGGCCAAGCCCTGGCCTTCAAGGTTCCTTTCGGAGCCTCTGCCTCCTGGGCTCTTTTACTCCAGGGAAGCCCTGTCTGCTGCCTCCGTGCAGTGACTTCTCAGGACTGCCACTCCCACTCAGACACTTTAATGACACCTCACTGTGCAGAGGAGAAAGTCCAGGCCTCTGGCACCCAGGCCTGCTGAGTCTGGCCCCATCCTACTGCAGTCACCTCCTCCTAACCCTCCACTGAGCTGACTCCAGTGAGTGTGTTCCTGAATTCCCTCCCGTGTGTCTGCTCACACTGGTTTCGTCTTCTTTCCTGAAATGCTCACTTCTATGCAACCTCTTTGAAAAAACAAAAACGAAAATGAAAGCAAAACTCAAAGGACTTCTCATCCTCAGGGCCCCATTCCTGAGCCGTCTCCTCTGGGTCAGTGCAACTAAAACTACTGTACTTGCAACTGGTAGCATCTTCGGGAGTCTCTTTGGTTGCTTGTATGTGTTTGTTTTTGCTTTCTTTTTACTTTCTCAGATGTTGTCTCAAGGCATTTACCAGAATTTAAATGCAGCAGGAGCAGGGCAAGGGTGAGCACAGCTCTCCTCCATTAGACACAGGACTGGGCACTCAGTAAATTACCTGTGGATTTAGCTGAATGGAAATGGGACAGATGCAGCTCTGCTCCATATTCAGCACCCAATGCCTGTGTTTCCAGATCTCAAACCGAAAGGGTGCCTGATGTAAACAACTGGTGCACCTGTGTGTGGGTGTGTGTGTGAGTGTGTGTATGTGTGTGTGTATTCCACGTCACTTGCTGTCCCCCTAGATGTCCAGAGCTTTCTCACCTATTCATGTTCCCCCATCATTATGTCTTATATTTTAATTTTCACCAAAACACACGAATCTGTGAGCTCTCAGTTCATCCCATGGCCCCTCTGGGAGGCAGGCAGGGTACAGGATCACTGTGCCCCTTTCCGAACAAGGAGACTGAGGCTCTAAGGAAGAGGAGGAGGCTGAGTTTCCTGTCTCCTTTTCTAGGACTCTTTGTACCTCACCAAGCTGCCCTCCCTGGAACTTTAATACACACTTAAGGATGAAGAACTTTCGGATCTGGTTAGCTTTGTCTTGACAGACTAGATTCTGGAGCCAGCTCAGCCATCTCTGGAAAACCAACTGTCTACTTCTAGGCCACACTTTTGTTATTGTTTGGGAGGTCCGCATATCGAAGTCTTAGGTAACTTGCTCCTAAACAGGTGACAAAGCCAATTGGACCAGCGATGGGATCAGCCAACCTCCCTTCTCACCACTTGCCCACAGTGTGGCGGTCAAAGGCAACTCCAGAGGCCGGGAATAAAGTGTCCTCCTGTGTGACAGAATTGATCAGATGAGAAAGCACACGTTGAGACACATTTCCTTCGAACCCAAACCCCGTCCTCCCTCCACAGCCTTGGAGCCCCTCAGAATGTGTACCCGGACCGTGGGCTGGCAAGGTACCTGCATTACAAATTCGCCCTTGGCTGCCGTACTGCCGCTGTCGGACTTTCCACCTTGCCTGTCCTGTGAGGAGAGAGGAAAGACAAGCATCTTTTTTATTTTTATTTTTTTGGTGCCAGGGATCAAACTTGGGTCCTTGCACTTGCGAAGGAGGCGGTGGAACCACTGAGCTAAATCCCCAGCCCAAGACAAGCATCTTTTGAAGAAACAAAACAAACAAAACAACCCCCCCCCACACACACCACGCACGCAAAACCCAAACCAAACCAAAGCAAAAGTCTAATGCATGGGAAAGGATTGGGTAAAATCAAATGGCTAATAACAACAAAGAGATTGAAAGGCTAGAATGGGAGGAGATTTTCAAAGTGAGACTTTGGATCTCACAAAGACAGTGCACTGCTATGCATTTCTGTAGGACTTTCCAGGCTGTGACTTTAACTCCAGACGTGGGCAAGGGACATTGCCGGATGGTACTGAAATTGGCAGAAATCTATTTCGTTGATTGGGAAACTTGAACCATGAGAACAAGGCCTCACACTTGGCTCCTCTCCTCGAATAATCTCATGATATGACATTGACTGTTCTTTTTTTTTTTTCTATTAAATTCTTTTATTGGTACATTGAAGGTATACAACACAATTACATTTCTCACTGGGAATTGTACCTTTACATGATGCATCTTGGTTCTTATTTTTCCCCATTCCTAGCCCTCCCTTCACCCCCTCCACCCTTCCCTATTTACAAAGACTTTATTTCCATTTTTTCCATTTCTCATCATTTTTTCCTTTCCCTTCTTTCCTTTCCCCTGCCCCTCCCACTACCCCTACCCCTTTGGATCTTTTCTTCCTATTTTACATTATCGATTATTCATTCTAATCATCGGTACATTTTAGGTATACAATATAATGACATTCATCATTGGAAATTTGCACCTTTACATAGTCTCTCTTGGTTCTTGTTTTTCACCCTTGCCCAGCCCTCCCTTCAACCCCTCCAGTCTTCCCTATTTACAAAGATTTTGTTCCTATTTTTCCATTTTCTCATATTAATCCCATTCCCTTCTATCCTTTCCCCTACCCCTCCCACTTCCTTCCCCTTTGCCCCTTTTCTTCCTATTTCACATTACCTATTATACATTTAGTCCTTATTTACACTTTCAGTTTCTCACACCAGAGAAACTATTCGGTATTTATACATGAGTGTCCTATTTATTTCACTTAAGAGGATCGCCTCAATGTGCATCCACTTAGCTATAAATGTCTCTAATTTCTCATTTTTTATGGCTGAGTAGTACTCCATTTTATAAAAAAACCACCTTTTCTTTATCCAGTCTCCAGCTGATGGGCATTTGGGCTGTTTCCAAGGTTTAGCTATTACAAACTGTGCTGCTATGAACATGGGCGCACATATATCACTGTGGTATGATTCTTTTAATTCTTTGGGGAAGATCCCCAGCAGTGGAATAGCGGGGTCAAATGGGACTTCCAGTCCTAGTTCTCTGAGGTATCTCCATACTGATTTCCACAGTGGTTACACCAGTCTACACTCCCACCAGCAGTGGAGCAGGGTTCCTCTTTCCCCACAGCCCCGCCAGCATTGGTTATTGGTTGATTTGACATGGATTGTTCTTAACTGTGTTCATCCAATGTGTATCACTTGAGGCTTATATAGCATCTGATAAAATGCTCAAATCTAAAACGTACCTCTTGATGCATTTTTGCATATGTACATGTCCTTGTCATGACTGACTCTTCAATGCACAATCTTGTGCAACTTCTGTGATCACACTGGTTTTGGGTAACCTTTTGAATTTTATACAGCTGGAGTCATAGAGCAGGCCTTTTAAGAAGCCTAGCTTCTTTGTTTAGCATTGTATCTTTGAGATTCTGTTTTTGTGTCTAAGCATAGTTTGTTTTTCCTATTGCAACATAGTATTACATCACACAAATACCATATTCCTCTCTTTATTCTCCTATTCCTGGTCATTTAGCTTGCTTCCAGTTTTTGACTATTATGAACATTTTTTTTTTTTTGGTACCAGGGATCGAACTCAGGTCCTTGCTCTTTCAAGGCATGCAGCGGAACCACTGAGCTAAACTCCCAGCTCCTATTATGAACATTCTTGCTCATGTCTTTTCGTGGAATAAATGCTTGTATTTCTTTGGTAGATCTACAGAAGGAGAATCATTGTGTTAGGGAGATTGTATATTTCCTCCTTGGTAGATGTTGGCAGATAGTTTTTCAAAGTGGTGGTTTTTCTTAGGTTTTTGAGGTGAATTGATTAGCTAGTCAAGGTTGGGATGAGTAGAATCAGTGGGTCTTGGTAATATATATATATTTTTTGGTACCGGGGATCGAACTCGGGTCCTCGTGCTTGTGCAGCAGGCGAGGAAACCACTGAGCTAAATCCCTGGCCCTCTTAGTAATATTTTTAAGACGGAAAGAGGAGAGAGGTGCTTGTTTGAAAGAGCAGTCAGTGGAGGAGACAGGAAACGTTTCAGGTTGGGCGTAAAAGGAGTTAAATTTGGATTCATTTCCAAATAGGGCTGAGACACTGCAGTAGGAGCCAGGCAGAGGAGCGGCATCCAGGGACCTAGGAGAGTAGTTGGCAGTGGGGACAGAGGCTCAGAGTCACTCAGAGGTGCTGCTGAGGGTCCTGGCTGGGATCAGCCTGTGGGGTGCCTGGAGCCAATGCGCTTCCTGGATGCAGCGCTTGGAACAAGCAGCTGGAACCACTGCCTCAGAGTCTTCTCTCACATCTGGCTGGTGCAGAGCCGACCTCTTTCAAACCTAAACCGTAAGAGCTGTTGGGGAAGCGCTGGGAAGGATATAAAGGTCTGAACACTGCTTCCATCGAATCTGTGAACCCAGAGAAGCCAGGGCCCTGGCAGGGTCAGGCGCACTTACCCGGGGGATGGGGCATATCGAGGTGGGCAGCAAAATATGGTCTCGGAGCTCCCCACCGTCACACAACGTGGATAATTCACATTTGCGGTGAAACTGGAGGGGAAAACGGAGGTGCCAGTGAGCAGAGGTGATCCAGGAAGCCTCATGCATTAGGGTCCAGAGGTTTGCCGGGGAGGCAAGCTGTCTAATGCCCCCCAAATCCTGATGTAGTGCTGGCTCCAGCAGGACTGCCGCATATGTGTGTGTGTGTGTGTGCACACACGCGCGTGTTCAAGTGTGGCCAGGGTGCCGGATCTGCTGAGGGCCAACAAAGGAGGCCAATAGCTGCCCGTGGCTACTGGAGCCAAGTGGTCACGAGCAGGTGGTGGCCCTTCGGTGTGGCACCCCATGTCAGTTTCAGAGCCCCCCCATGTCTGCTGCCCCAGAGGGAACAAACTGATGGCGGGCCGCAAGTATGCTCCACGACCCAACCTGTGCATTTTGAGAGTTCTGCAGTCTTTTCTGAGGCTGATACCTGGTCTGGGGGACAAGACAGGGCCCTAAATTTGCTTTGGCAAGCAGGCAGGGCAGCTTATCGGCTGCGGGGGGGCTCCAGTGTCCTGAGTGCTGGGGACTCTCCCCGATGCTGTGGCAGGTGGCAGCAGGCCCAGGGCTCTGGGCCAGGCAACAGGGGTGGAGCTATAACAAGTGTGACTTCAGGGCAGGTGCCTGTCCCTCCGGTTCTTAAAGAGCAGGCGTCCCAGTGCCTATCCATCTCCCACTCTATCAGCTCCCCTGGCCCCAGAGGACACCCAGACAAAGGACAATAGTGGTTCTGCCTGCCCTTCTCAGCTGCCTGGCCAGACGGACAGTGGTCTTGCCAGTGTCATCGGAAGCGTCCCTCACCCCCCTGCTCCGGGGCGGGTCCTCTCTCTGTTGCACTCTTAGATGAGGGGTCTGGATCGGGGCTCTGGGGGCCTCCCAGCCTCGCTCCCCTGGCTCTGCTCTCGCTCTCTGGCAGGATGTCCACTGCTCCCGAGTTGCAGCTCTCGCAAAAACCCACACTGGAAAGACGCAGGGCCGCCCTGGGCACCAACCCACCGTCATCCGGCACCACACGCAGTGCCGCGCGGTGACACTCTGGTAGCACTTGATACTTTTGTGGCACCGGTCACACTTGACGGAGGAGTTCCCTTCCACCCATGCGTGCTGCATCACCTGCGGGAGGGAAGCGGAGGATACCAGGGAGGGCAGCAGAACCAAGCCCTCCAGCCCAGGGCTGCAAAAGGTCTGGCAGGAGCCCCAGAGTGGGAGGGCCAGAGTGGGCGGTATCCTACTCAGGGGCTGCTCAGTGGATGCTGGGTCCTGTCTGCCTAACGGGCGGAGTGGTAGTCAAGGTGGATTCAAAGCCGCTCTGCTTTAATTCTAGCTCTTGTTCCCCTGGGCAGCAAGCCTCTGAGTAGTGCCTCTCTAGCAGTCTAGCTGCCCGGCCTTGCAGAACTCCCTGCAGAGTGGTGGGTGCTTCTGGAAATCAGCACAGTGAGCGGGCCAGGGAGGACTTGGGTTACAGACAAACTTGGTTGGGGTCTCTGATCTTGCACTTCACAGCTGAGGCCTCTGGCCAGTTCCTGGGCCCCTCTGAGTCTCGGGTCCCTCATCTGTAGAAGTCTGCATGCTAAGTGTCCTGTCCGGGGTTGCCGGGAGGCCGCAATGAGCTAGCACACTTGGACTCAGGTCTCCCTGGGGCAGCCCGCAGGCTTGGAGGCACTACTGGGTAACTCTGATCCCCCTTCTCAGCCTTCGCCGCCCATTAAAACCACCAGGGACTTTCTAGACATCCTAGTGCCCACCCCGCACTCCGGATACATTAGTCTCTGCAGGTGGCACCAGCGGTGGCCGGGGCCAGCACCACTGTCGTGTTTGAACACACTCTGGGTGATTATGATGTGCTGCCGAGGCTCAGAAGCACTTTTTTTTCTTTTTTTTTGGGGGGTACTGGGGATTGAACTCAGGACCTTGCGCTTTAGAGGCAGGCGCTGGAACCACCGAGCTAAATCCCCACCCCTAAGAAGCACTCTTGAAGGAGGTTAGACAAAAAGTCCAAAGAACTCAGCAAGGGTGCTACGGGTGCCTTTCCTACTTGCTTCCTGGAGACCTGGTTTTATCAACTCCCTGGCCAGGAAACGCCACCAATTCCGGCTGGGAACTCAGGAAGCAGGTGTGTCCCTCCCTATGAGGGTAGCTACAGAGACACCAACTGCCCCACGACCCCACTGACTGGGAGCCATTGCTCTCAGCTCCCTCCCCCTGGAACTCAGAAGAACTTTTCAAAAATTTCTACCAGGGCCGCCTGCCTCGCAAGGGTGAGGTCCGGAGTTCGATCCCTGGTAGAAAAAAAAAAAATTCTACCAAGGTACCTGAATGGCAGCAGGAAGTGTCTGTGGATCCATGCGGGGAGGTAGGGGCACAGCCAGAGGTTCCTGGCTTCAAGCACAACTTAAAAAACATGAAATAATTTGCATAATACCCATGCTTGAGGAAAGACAAAGAAATTTTTTTTTTTTTTTTGGTACTGGGGATCGAACTCTGGTTCTTGCGCTTAGGCAGCAGACAGCAAAACCACTGAGCTAAATCCCTGGCCCAAGAAATGTTTTAAATGACTTAGCAATTAAGTTGTGGGACGCCTCCCACCTGGGAAAGCTTTTGGTAAAAATGATTGCTCCAAAAGATGTGTCCTATTTTGCTTTCTGCCACACACTGCTGAGGGCACCAAGAACTTATTATGTTAACCCACTTGACATCTGGGTGGACATGGTGAATTTGGTCTCAGATGATGATTATCCCGTACCCCCCACCCCGTCCCACTCTGTGCTGGGGATAGAACTCAGGACCTTTTGCTTGAAAGGCAGGCGCGGCGCTGCTGAGCTAAATCCCCGGCCCTGATTATTCCCTTTATGAAGAGGGAAAATCCTGAGGCTTTAGGAAGGATAAGGACTGGCCCCGGGTTCCCGCCCAGTGCAGGCGCAGAACCCGAACCCGGGAGGCACAGCGAGTGCACTGTGTGTGCTGGAGGAAGCAGGGCCAGGGAAGGGGTGTGGGGGGGCGGTGTAGGTGGAGCTAGCAGGCCATGCGGGGTTCACGGGGCGTGCATGTGAGTCCCCAGGGGTCCCTCTTTCTCGGGAGGCTTCTGTAGGGCAGCCCGGCTGGTACCACTCTCACCTGCTAAGCATCTCAGCTTCCTCAATGGACTCTTCCCTGTGCCACAGAAACGCAGAGTGCTCGTCCCCTCATTTTAAGGACAGCTATTCCGAGACCCTGCGAATGGCACCACCCAGTGGCCAAGATAGAACCTGGGAGTCATTCTCTACCTCTTCCCCTCTTTCATCCTCAGCATCCGCATCACCAGTGCTGCTGGTGTCTCCGGATTACTTCTCAAGCGCTGCCGTCACCTTCTCTGCCTGAGCTCTGGGCACCCAATGGCCTGCTCAGGAGGTGCTCAGCAGGAAGCCAGTTAGGATGACACTAGCCAGGGAGGACAGACTCACTCCAGGCCGGCCCTCAGGGTGACACCGCTTGCTGCTTGAAATACTGGTGGAATTTCTCTCCCTCTATTTCTGTCCTACTCCATGCTCAGATCAATTTGCCTAATTTGCAAATGGAATCGTCTCTCCTGTTCAGAAGCTCTTCAGTGATTCCCATGTGTGCACGGGAAACTGCTTTCTAGTTTCTCCACTTGCCTCATGAGATGTCTCCAGGCTGGATCTTACTGCGTCCTGAGCTTATTTCCTGGCACCTTCCTTTAGGTACCCTCTGTCCCAGCCACACCAAAGTAAGGACGGACCCCAGATGAGATATATCCACGCCTTTACACATGGGGCACCTTCTACCGCAGTCCCTGTCTTCCTTGATGCCACATGAAATCCTTCTGATGTGAGTTCAAGGCACAACTCAAATGTCACTTTCTTTGTGAAACTTGCTCTGTTTTCTCCTTGGTCCCTCAACTCTTGGTTCTGCACAGCCCTACCATGACAGCAGGCATCTCACTACTTTGTATTCTGCTTACAAACCTGTGTTTCCCTGAAGACTGTGGAGCACCTGGGCAGCTGGGGGCCACCTCCTATCATCTGTGTACCCCTGGTGCAGTGCCTGGCACATAGTGGGCGCTGGGATGCTGAATGGATGGATGGATGAATAAGATGGTTTAAGGGTGGTCCTCCAGGCACAGAAGGGACTGGAGAAAGCGCCCAAAGCCCCTTCCTTCCCAGAAGGCCATGGTGATGGACATGTTGTCCCGGATGCAGCATGCAGTAGAACGAGGCAATAGGTGTCACCAACCTCACCACTCCTTTTGGCTTTTGAGCATGTTTTGACACACACAGGGATGTTTTTGGATACACAGCGTTCATGGACAGTGTATTTACAGTCTGAAAGGAAAAACAATAAGGAAGGTGCTTGTGAGTGACACCAGCCAGCCTCCTACCCTAGCCAAGGCTGGTACTTCCTGCTGGATGGCCGGGGAAGAGCAGGGGACATACGGAGGCTGGCCTCACCTATGGGAAATTCAACTGCTTCCCATTTTCTCTTGAACAGAGTCCCCGACTAGCCCCATTCTGCTTCTGCACCTCCACCTTGTCATGTGGTTCCTCTGTGGGCAGGAAATTGTCCCCAGATGGGAGAGTGTGAGATGTCCTCTGGCTGGTTAGGCCAGTGTCGCAGCATTGCTTGGTGGGAATGGTGGTGGTAGTGGGGGAGAAAAGCCAGGGGTCTCCAGCTAGGCATGGCCCGATCTTTGGCTCTGCCATTTGTAACAATCCACGTGGTCTTGGATAAATGGCTTGACCTTGCTGAAATTCAGGGTACCTGTAAAATGGGAATGATTGGACGTCTCTTTCTCTTTTCAAGGGTTTTGCAGCTTTACATGGGATAATTTATGTGAAGCACCGCTTGCCTGGGCCAGGGTAGATGTTCCACGGATTATCACTGCTGTTGTTACTATTATTGGGCGAACGGCACGTGTGAGAGGAAATTTGGGGACCTGGGGGGCTCTGCACAGCTCTCCAGACTCTGGGCTTCTGTACCATGCGGTGCTTGCCAGGCTCCTGTGCACCCCACATTCTGGCCCCCAGAAGCCTTCTTGCCGCAGCCCTTTCCCCTCTTCTGGCTCCCATGTCCCCTTCCTTCCTGTATCGCTCTTTCTCATTCCCTCCATCTCCTTCTCTTATTTACCTTTTCAGTCTCCCTTTCTCTTTTCTCTCCCATCCCTCACTTGTGATTTTTTTCCCTCCTCCCCGCCTTAACTTTACTAAGATTATAAAATGAAACAACGTGTGATTTTAATTGCATTTACAGAACATAGAATACAGTATGCTGCTTAACTGATTAAAAAGAAGGGGCCTCTGAACACACTGGAAATAGCCATTGACTAGAAAACCTAGCTGGAATTGGTATGAGATGATTTTTAATTATGCATACACTTTCATCATTTTTTTCTAGAAGATCACTGGGGCCTGACGCCAACAAAAGTACTTGTCTTTTCCACTTGACTCAGTAGAGTCAACATAGGACAAGAGGCCTTGCTTTATTTCCTGATGCTGGAACATTTAGGTTGGTCCCCCAGCTGAGATGCAGAATACCTGGCTTCTCCTGGAAGGGCTCAGCCAGCCACACGCAGGGCAACCCGATACCTAGAGGCAAGGGCTAGAAGGAAGTTTACTCACACGTGCAGCGCAGGCCTTGCTTCCGGACCCCCATCAGCATGAGGTGGCAGAAGTTGCAGTAGGTTGGCTTCTTAAAATGCTTCAGCGTCCAGGCATGCCTCCCGTCCCCCGTGCAGCCCTGCAGGGTCACAGGAGGTGAGACCCTGAGAAGGTCGTGCCCAGCTAGAAGAAGCCACGGCCACCTGATGCGCTTTCTGCTTTCTTTCTAAATAAGACGCTCATCTCATATTTGGAAAGCAAGTTACTTCTTTAGAAAAATACAAACAAAAATAAAGTTCTTTGTGTTTTCTAAAATTCATAAATACTACAAAGGCTATCTGAATGGGAGTATGAGAAGGATTAAAAACCTTCTCCCACATGGCTGGCAGAAGAGTAAACTGGAACAACAGTTTTGTCTATCATCGGTCTATCTGTCTGTCTATATCTCCTTATATCTATCATTTGTTTATCTAAAGATTCTTTAAATGTTTACAACCTTTGACTTTCAAGTTGACTTTTTTGCTCTTTCCTAAAGAAATAAGTTTTAAGAGACAGATGAACTTTTTTTCTCTCTGTCAGATATTTAACTCAGCATTATTTAAAACAATGAAAAACTAGAAATGGCCTAAAGGTCTCCAAATGACTAAAAGGTTAATTGTGATACATGCATATGACTTAATATTAGGTAGCAATAAATAAAGAAGTTTCTAAAGTTATCTAATGGTATGGTAAAATACTCAAGATACAGTGCTAAGTGAAAAAATCAGAATGCAAATTTATATATTATTACATTATTTATATATTATTTGTTTGTTTGTTTTTGGTACCGGGGATTGAACTTGGGTCCTTCCGCTTGCATGGGAAGCACCGGAACCACTGACCTAAATCCCCAGGCCTTATTTATACATTATGAACTCAGTTTTAAATAATGCCTTTGAAGGCAAGAGATTTCACTATCTGTCAAGAGAGATTTGCTATAGCTGGTGGCAGTATGCATGCTTGTTTTCAGATTGAACCCAGGGCCTCGGGCATGCCAGGCAGACACTCTCCACTGAGCTGCATTCCCAGCTCTACGCATTCATTTTATTCTTTAATTTTGTATTTTCTTCTACAGTTGCCAGATTTTCTACAGTAAGCATGCACTAGTGTTATAATCAGGAAAAATAACGTAGTCCTTGTACCAACCCTCTGCACACAGATAAAATAGTGAACAGAGACAAAGGGAGAATTAAATCAATGCCTTCTGATTGGCTCAGAAGTGAAATCACCCTCAGCCACCAGATGAACCATACCTCACACAATCACACCACTTCCCTGGGAAACCAAGTCTCCCACCTTCTGGGGGCTGGAGGTCCAGCCCGGCTTGATGCTGTGGCTTTAGGACATTTTTCTAGGCAAATGCCACCTCTGCACCTTCCTCAGACTCCAGCACAGGGGTAGCACTCAGGCTTGTGGGAAGGGCAGTGACAACTATGGTAGAAAGGTGATGAGGACCCACGGTCTTCAGTGAGTCTGGCGAACGGGACTCAAGCCCTGTCCTTACCTCGGGGCACCTTTGGTGTGGCTCTGGTGACCACAGCTGGGCTGCTTCTGGACTCAGACTTCTGCTGTAGTCCCTGGAGGAGCCCACATTCTTTCCAAGTGCTCCTCTCCTCTTTGAGGGCTGCTGAAGCTCTTTACTTCACCCCCAAGCCCTATTTCTTCCAAGACCAGAGCTTAATAGAATTACAGACCCTTTTATCTAAGGGTCTCCACTTTACTAAATGGATTCACAAATGGAGAATGAGTCACCAAAAGACTGGTTGATTCATTCATCGGGCAAACATCTACCTCCAGGGATTCTTTTGGGGCTAAGAATTAAATGAAAGAAAATAAGTGCATCCCCTTATTCACTTCCAGACCCATGGTGAATGAAAACTTGTATTAAATTCCTATTTCATACCAGATGCTGGGGAACACAAAACAACTAGAGTGTATATTTGCAAGTAAGGAGGAAGATTTATTCCTAGTCTACAGGTGGACTCAGAGAAGTTACACAACTAGTCAGAGCCCACATGGAGAGTGACAGATCAGTGGTCACACTCGGGGCTGTGTATGGCCAAAGCCCCTCCTCTCAGTGCAGGGGTTTCCTTTATGAACAGAATGGCTTCTTCATGTAGCTCAAAGGACTATCATTTTAACGGAGGATACCTCCATTAGCTAAGTCAGTTAGCTAACTTCTCCTTTCTTACTCTTTTCATAGCGACAAGAAGCAAATGAACTGGGAAGAGATAAAGAACCATTTCTGCTTGAGTTATAGCACCATCATGTGGCTCTCTCATTTCTGCACAGTGGAGGCTGCAGCGTGGGAGGGATCTGCCTTGGGCACACCAGGTTTTATGCTGCTGCCACAATTTCGCCAGAAAGATTGCTTTGCATAGAGCCCATTTAGAGATTCACCGATTTCTCAGCGGTCACCTGTGGGTTTTGAAAAAGTCAAACAAGCAATAGCATATGGATGGAGGCTTTCTCTAAAACCCCAAATATTATATGCTAAAAATTTATTCATACCTATTTAAAAATAGATGTATAAAATATTTGAGTAATAAAAGCTAAATTTACATTTATTTTGTTTTCCACTTTTCTGATGTAAATTATAGTTTTCTACAGGGCTGATCTGGCATTTGGGAGAGACATGGGCACTTAGATCTGAGTGGAATCTTGAGTGAGTGTTGGCCGCAGAAGTCTATCTTCTGGACCCAGCTCCTGTGGGTTCTTGCAGTAAATGAGGGGAACAATGTTATTGGATGTGGTGAATGGCCTCTGGCATCGATCTGGTGTGTGCCCTTGGGTAAGTCCTTTACCTCCTCAGTCCTCTGTTTGTAGGATACAGGGGACAGACCCAGGGGACAGACCCAGAGAACCACAAGGGACATTTCCAATTAAGACTTTCCAGGAAAGTTTAAGGAATAAGAAGGGAGTTGTGCTGATCTCTGATTTCCACTTAGCACTTGGGAAGAGCTGAAGATGCTATGAGATGCCTGTAGGATTCTTAGATTGTGAGTTTTGGGAATGAGGGCCCAGCTTTAGTCCTGAATTGCAGAACTGATGGATGGAGATGTGGACCGCAAGAGTCAGCTAGAGGTTAACCCAACTCTTACTTCCTGTTTTGTTTCTCTCTCAAAGAGGTATTGTCACATAGCCACTGTGACTCTCCTGGTAAAGGCTTAATGTCACCATTTGTGCTCCTACTAGTTGTAATCTTCCTATCTCATGTATAGAAATTAGTTCATTTGGTAAGTAAGCAGAAAATCCAGGAATTGGCTTGATCAGTTGCAGGCATGTATAACCTCTGATTTCACTTTAAGCCTTTATACATATCCCCCACTCTCATCTAACTGGGAGATTTTCCCAGATTTGCCTTCATTTGGGTTTCTTCCTGCTACGAGTTCTGTCTTCTGCCATCTTCTACCAGGCCAGCCATAGCCGACCATGAGCAGCAGGTCAAACATCCACCTAGGTTTTTCTGTCTGATCTTTATTCTCAAGAATGGGTTATCCTAACCTCATAAGTTCTTCTGAAACAGGTCAAACACTCTCCAAGGCTTCTTGACTTACGGTCTCGTCCATCCCCAGGAGGACCAGCAGCGGAATGGTGGTCATTCCTCCATGGACCCATTCCTGCAGAGACACAAAGCCGTCCCGGTCGTAGTCCATCCCTTGTAACATCTCCTTCAATATCTGTGGAATCGAAGAGCAAGTGTCGGTTTTCATCCTTGACTTTTCTACCTCCCTTCTGGCCTCTGCTTGATCTTTGGTCCTACATTACTCATTTATTGCTTTCCTCCTTTGCCCTCTTATTTAGGGCAAGCAGAGCAATGAGGGACCTAACTGGAAGAGAGGAGCCTGTGGCTCTCAGTCCAACTCAGCTCTGGCCTGGCTGTGTAGCTGTGGGTGCATCACCCCAGCTCCCTGAGTCCTGGATTGCCCATCTGGAGAAATGAAGATGACTTTGTTGTTTGCAACACTGTAATAAGTATTAGAGAAAATGCATATAAAGTATCTAATATAATACCTGATATATTGGAGTCCCAACATGCAATTATTGTTGTCATTCATATCATCTGGTGATTAAAATAGCTCTAAAATTGTTTCTGACTCTGAATACTTTGACCCATGAATTTCTGTTATGAAATTTTAGCTCTGTTTGAAAGGTTAATGGAAATTATGATTTCTGTGCTTTTCACCAGCACCGCCTATATTTTTCCTATCAGATTGTGGGGGGTCGGGGGGGACCGCAGAGAAGCTGCGGGGAAGAAGGTGAGTCTGGGAGTCCCTGCACAGTGCACAGCAGCAGCCACTCGCATCTCCGATGCTCGCTCCAAAGCCACCCCACGCTTATGGAAACTCACAGGCCTTAGCTCCGTGGGATCCCACTCCAGGTACTGGGCAATATGCAGCATTTGGTTGACAATGCAATCCATCTCCTGAAAATGGTGAGAAGGGAAATATCAAGGAGAGACAGCCAAAGATGTGTTATCAAGAGCAAAACCCAGAATCAAATCCAGTGGGAAGATGCGGGGGGAGCGCGGGCAGAGGCTGGTGCAACACAGTGGCATTTCACAAGCAGCTCATTGCTTGCTTCTGCCTTGGCCAGGAAGCCCAGTGGACAGTTGATGGTCACAGGAAGCACAGAGCATGGGTGAGCCAACGGACTCAGCAAGCTCACTAAACGGTGACCTCTTCTGGTCTCACCTGGCCCAGCTTCCTTTACTGTAATTCTGTCCTTGAACTTGGAAAGCATAGAATGTCCTCTTCTTTTCTCCTCTGTCATCATAGCTCCCACAGATAGTTACAAACTAAAGTGGTCTTTCTTCCCTTTTCTTACGATTCCTCACCCCAATAAGTTTAGCAACTCAAGCTCCACGTGCTTCTCAGAGGTCAGTTTCACTGGATTACTGTGTCGGCCCTAGCTCAGGCACCAACCACACTTTTGCTTCCTTTTGGAAGCTCCTCTTCCCTCTGCACCATGACCCAGCCCTGAGCCCAGGACTCTATGAATAGGACATAGGAAATGCATAAGGGGTGCGTTCGCCCATGAGTGAGCCTTGCGTTACCAAGGCCAGGTTCTACTACATTCCCACAGATTTGTTGGGTGTTAATGAGTGAGTGCACAGAAAGCTGAACATATTAGACTGAGGAATATTTGGCATCAAAGTTAGCATCTTGCATGTGGGGACTACCTAAAATTTCTCTGGATGGGCAGGCGGGTGAACCGAAGCAAGTTTGAAAGGTATTACCTTCAACAGGAAGAAAGCTGGGTCAAAGCAAGCAAGCTAAAACCCAAGAGGGAGTTACAAAATTGAATTGTGCTTAAATTAAAATAATAATCCATACCAAAACTATAGCATGTGATAGGAAGATAGCAAGATGAGGAAGTGGGAAGTGGGCAGAAAAGTGAAGTCAGGGTTTGGCTGAAGTTTCAATGAAAGGAGATTGTGGATTCACGTGGGCCCAAGATTCAGTGAGAAGGGGATTCAGGCACCAAGTATTAGACTCAGACATGGGTTGTGTAAATGGAAGCAGAGAGGACAGGCTGTAAACAGAACTATGTCCATCTCGGTGAGGCCACACTTGGATAGAGTCAGGGAGGGTTGGGTGAGCTTGACCGGAGGCGATATTTGGAAGTGCCTCAGTGTAGGAAAAGGGAAATTGTAACTTGGAGACAATTTTAGGGACATACTATAGTACCTTCAAATACACAAAGGCCTGTGGCATTCCACTTGTTTGATCAGCTACCAGGGGCAGAAGAAGCTGAGGGATGGAGAAAACAAAGGACTTCGGGGTCAGCCTATTTTGACCTCCCTGCTAGGTTGGAGGAAGAGAGAGGAGCAGCAGGTTTGTTGTTGAAAACTGCCCTGGCAGACAGAGGGATGTCCTGTGTGCAGGAAGGAAGCCCTAGCCATCATCCCTGGCAGTGGAATGGCTGTCTTAAGCTAGTAGGTGGCTGCTCCATCACTGGGTGTTCAACAAGGAGCTAGAGCCCATCAGCCAGGCATGCCAGGTCAGAAGCTGCACCTGGCATTCTCTTAAGACTTGTTGCAGTCCAGCAGCGTTACTTTTGAAATATATGAGCACTGTAACCACTTCTCGCCACATTCCATGCTTTTGCCCTGAGCAAGGTCACTATCATACTCTGCCTGGATTATGTCAGCAGCTCCTAACTGGTGTCTCTGCCTGCATCCTTACACTCTATACTCAACGCAGCAGTCAGAGCGATCCTATTAAAGTCAATCCTGTCACTCTTCTGCTCAGACTCTTGCATGGTTCTCCATTTCTCTAGAGAAGGATAAACCTTTTCAGTCACCATAGGACTTAATATGCTTGCCAGTATCCCCAGCCACCCCATTTCCCCCCCTTAACATCTCCAATCGCATCTCCTTCTACTTCCTCACTCTGACCTCATCTGTTCTCCAGTTCTGCTCCAGTCACATTGCCCCTCCCCACTAATCCTCCGATGCCCCAGGCACCCCTCAGGACCTTTGCACTCAGTGCTTCCTTTGCCCCTTGCTTACTCCCTCTCCTCCTTCAAGACTCCGTTCAGATGTCCCCTCCCAGGGGATGCCTGCCTTGGCAGCCCTAGCAAAAGCTGAGACTCCACACTGCCTCTCCCTCCTTTGTCTTTCTTCTTAGCACATATCTCTCACCAACTCATTTTCTGTGCTGCTTAGTGTCGAGAATGGAAACCACATGCAGGAAGGGAATCCTGTCATCTGGCCACTGCGATGTATCCTCAGTAAGCACCTGATGTATGCAGTAGACACTCAGTAAACAAGAGCTGATCAAATGCTTAGAGTCGGTACTTCTCTGGTTGGTCCCGAAACTCCCTCAACCTGCAGCACTGCAGTAAGGTGACAGGCCCAGGAATAAAGGGAGCTGGCATGATTCAGTTGGTCTAGTGGAATTCCCTTCCTCCCTCCCTCCCTCCCTTCCTCTGGTCTGACTCCGTCCCACCACTAATGAGCTCTTTAATGCTCTGACTCTGCCATTACCACTCATGACCACAGGCCTATCTGACTTTATGGCTCCTTCCCTCTGCCTGCTTTCCTTTCAGTTCTTCTGCTCACTCTCTGGTCCCTGGCCCTTCCGAAGGGATGAGTGAGTTTCAGGTTTCTCCAGGTGCAGTGGGTGTGGGAGCAAAAGTCCAGAGTGACAGACCTAGCCTCCTGGGAAGGAGAGGACGCCAAGGGCGATGCCCTTCTCCTTGGCCCAGTCTTGTTACCTCCCTGGATACCCTCCTCTTGCTCTTGGGGTCCAACAGGAAATTTCGGTGCAAGTTTGTGAATGGAGAAGTTAAATTAGATGAACGAGTAACACATTGCCTTATTCTGAGATTGTATGATTCCAGGCTTCTAGAATGAGGACAACCACAGCTCGTGCTCTGCAGGGCTGCTCTTTGGAAACAGGGTGAGGGATTCTGCTTAGACTTCTTACGGCAGTCTGTCTTGGGACGCTGAAATCCCCAGAGAGAGAACTGAGAATTTTCAATTCTTCTCCACTCCCCCAGCCTTCTCACCCCCAGGAGGGATATTTAGGGTCCCAGCTTACCGCTTGGTCCAGGAGTCCGTTCTCATCTGAATCATAGAGGCGAAACATGACTGCAAGAAAGACAGAGGCCAGGCTTGAGATGTCCTCTGGCCCCCAGGGGTGGGCTGGGGGTTTGGTACCACTGGAGTCTGCAGTTTCTAGATCAGTGCTGGACCTCACTGGGGTGAAGGCTGCTGCAGCTAGCCTCAGTTTCTCCAAGGTGCAGAGTCCAACTTCCTGACTCGGAGGGTCAGAAAAGGGAGGAGAACCAATCCTGGCTGGTGGAAACCGTGTGTCTGATGAGACACGGGCCACAAGTGTGAGTCTTGGGCACAACCCCAAACGCGTCCCCAGCTGGTGGCAGGGGAGGCACCCGGGCTGCTGCTTTCATTGCACATAGAAAGATTGTGGCACTAGGCAGAGTCACACCCGGTGCGCTCCAGTTATCTCTCTTCTTTGGGTCTGTTTATTTGTAAAGTGGAATTCCAGTCACTTTTTTCTCCTAGGATTATTATGAAGATTAATATGCCACTGGTACTCCAAACTGAAAGTGCTTGTAATACAGAAAGCACTCAACAGAGGTTATTTATTTTTATTTACTTTTATTAATGAACACATACATATAGCTTTTCATATATACCAGGTACCATCATATGTACTTTATACTTAATCCTCAGGAATCCTAGGTGGTAGTTACTACTACAGAAGCTGTTACAGGTTGAGTATCCCTTATTCAAAAAGCCTGAAGTGTTTTGGATTTTTAAAAAAAAAATTGGAATATTTGCACATACATAATGAGGGACAGTACCCAATTATTATTTGTTTTTTTGCTACCAGGATCGAACTCAGGACCTTGGGGCTGTAAGGCAGGCGGCAGCTCCACTGAGCTAAATCCCTGGCCCAAGGACCCAAATTTTAAGCATGAAATTCATTAATGTTTCATGAGTACCTTATACACATACCCAAAAGTAATTTATATAATGCTTTTAGTGCATTTGCACTTTGAATATGATCTGTCACATAGGGTCAGGTATGGAAGTTTCCACGGATGATATCATATCAAGGCTCAAAAGTTTCAGATCATTTGGAGCATTTTAGATTTTTGATCTTCAGATTAGGGATGCACCACCAGCATCTCTTACTCCCTAAAATGTCAATATGCCATTCAGAAACATCTTCGATAATGTTCTATCTGCAAGGAGGTGATGTAGCTAAGGGACATCTGGGAGGGAAATTTGGACTGACAACTAAATGTTCACTTAGCAGAGTGAGGCATTTCTTCCTTTTCCTCCCATTCTTTAAATGCATCATCTTGCCTGCTTTCCTAGTGGATCCCCTGGCACTGACGCTGCTGAGATGTAGCACCTTTGGGTCTCTCAGCACAAGCTCACCTGGTCATACTAAGTTGCATTTGTGTCATCATTTCCTTCTAGATGTTTTAATGTCCCTGCACCTTGTATTTTTTTCAGTGATGCGTACCTGGTTGGAGCCTTACATTCTTTAAAAGTAGGGTTCTGATTCTGTGTGACTCCTCAGAAAGTCCTGGTCAGGGGGATGCAGCCTGCAGCACACGCTGCCCAGTCCCTGGACAGGTGGGTGAATGATATAAAGAAGGGCAGAGCATCCCACCAGCCTTGTGCCAGGACTCTGCACACAGGGGAGTTTCTAACCTGACCTCCTTTTGGCCCTGTGGCCCATGAACAACAGGACCAGAAAGAGCTGGGGAGGCTCCTCGGTAGTGGTACATCCTCGGGCAAGTCCTTCAACCCTCTCGAAAAATGAGAATAATGTCATCCTCCCAGGGTATCGTGAGGCTAAAATAACAAGATGTATTGAAAGTGTTTAGCAAATATAAGATGTTCAGTGATGGGAGTTATGAATAAGGCTTCAGGTTATTACCTCCAAAACCAAACATGCTTGATTTGAAAAAGAAAAGCTTCAGTTATTTTCAATCATTAAAATTAAGGAAGGAGTAGAGTTGATGTGATTAAATAAAAACCAAACCCCAAATGAAAACTACAGAATAAATGACTAAATTTCCTCAACAAAAAGTTGCAAGGAAACAATTTAGCTAAAGATAGAGAGGGAACTAAAAAACTAAGGGACCGAAGAGACAATAATTAATGGCAACGGGTGGACTTTATTTGGACCCTAATTCAAACAATTAAAAAAATAAGATAATTGGGAAAATATGAATACAGGCTGAATATTTGATTATAGGAGGGAATAATTTTTAAATGTAATAATAGTATTGCAATTCTCTTTAACAAAGAGTCTGTGGTTTTGAAGGTACGTACTGAAATATTTATAGAGGAAATTACTTGATCCCTAGAATTTATTTCAGGTAGACAGAATAAGTGGGTGGTATAAACAAAACAAGATTGATCATGACTTGATAATTTTTGAAGTTGGGTAGTATGTACACAGATGTTCACTGTATTCTGTACTCTTATCTGCCTTTGAAATTTTCTGCAATAGAAACTTTGTTTTCCTTTTCTGAGACAGGGTCATGTTATATAGTTCAGGTTGGCCTAGAACTCACTGTGTTGTCCAAGCTGACCTCGAATTTACAGTGATCCTCCTGCCTCCGCCTCCTGAGTGCTGGGATTACAAACGTGTGCCAGAATGCCTGGCTTTACAATAATAACTTTGGGGCTGGGGATTTAGCTCAGTGGTTCTGCCGCTTGCCTTGCAAGGATAAGGACCCAAGTTCGATCCCTGGTACCAAAAAAACCAACCCCCCCCCCAAAAAAAACCAATAATAACTTTGAAAGTTTCTTTTCTTTTCTTTTCTGAGAGTCACAGCTGATAGGAAGAATCTGGCACATTATCTTTGACAGTTAATTACAAATATAAAACCTCAGACTCAATGCAGTTACATGTTGGAAATAATTTGACATTTCACTTTTAACATTAGCCAGGAAAAAGCAGATATCTGCTACATTTGTTACCAAATTAGCACTTAAAACTTGCAATTGTTAACACCTCAAAACTATGGGGGAGATTTTAAACTCAGCTAACGAGCAAACTGTTTCATTTTGGTTTTGGCAGAGTTAACCTTTGGCAGACTTTCCTGGTTAACGTTTAATTTTTATTGACTAGTCTTATTATGAACTGGAAGTTTGACTTCTACTGTAACGTGTATTTTTTTTCACTGTCTACTGGAGTTCTCAAGAGAAGCAAAGACAATACATATTTTTAAGCAAGATCCTATTGCTTCCTGTTCTAAAAAGTGTGCCTGTAGGCTCCCAGAGGGTGAGGGAACCATCCTCGGGTTGAATCTTCTTCAAGGCCACAGGTTCTTTCTGCCAGCAGTTCTGACTCCTCCTGAGGATGTGTTATGGAAAGTAACTTTGCAGTACCGTGAAACCAAGCTCAAGTTTAATTATCCAGTCCCCATGGTCTAGAGTCCCAAGACCTTGGAGGTCTCAGGTGAATGGAGAAATGGAAATAAACCTTTCCAAGAAGATTATTGACAGATTTCAAGGAAAAACACCCCTCATGATGGAGGTGCTTTTTCACAGCACAGGGGACGGGTTGCAAGTGCTGAAGATCTTTGAAAAATCTATCAAGAGGAGGAGCAGCTTTCTGATCGGAGGCTTTCTGGAAGTCCAGCCTGCCAAGCAGAGGACTGGTGACCCCTCTTCTCTTTCCAAATTCTGGTTCTCTATGTCAAGGTCTCAAATGCCCTTCCTACCCTTTATACCAATATTGTGTCCTAGGGAGGATTCTAGGTAATGTCGCTTATATCACTTCGGGTGAGAGGACAGAGAAACTGTCCTCAAAGAGGCAGAATTCAAACCCATGACCCCAGATCCATGTCCAGTGTAAGAAGGACACAGTTTCTGCTCCAGGAAAAAGCCGAGGCCCTCGGCAGTACCAGCACTTACATTCTAGCTTATCCTGAGGTCTCCCAGTCTCCAGGAGGGACAGGTAGCACACGACATCCTTCAGGTACACTATGGGGGGTCCTGAGCTGGCAGACCCAGCAGGAGGGGCTCCCAGGAGGGTCGCAGCCACTTGGTTTCTAGCTGGTGCTTTCTTCTCCGCCATCTTTGATTCTAAGGTGGGAAAAGGAAAGCGTTCAAGGACGCTTTGTGTATAGCGACCATTAACTAACCCCCTGCCCAGCCTCTTCACGATAGATGCAAGAATTTTACACTGATATCTTCAAAAGCTTGAGTTACATAGATATGATCAAATCAGTGGCCCTAAAATTCTAGTTTCATATTCTCTGATAGGACCTCATTCTGACCCTTTACAAAGCCTATTCCCTGCTGGGAATGGTGGTGCATGCCTGTAATCCTAGCACTCCGGGAGGCTGAGGTGAGAGATCCAGTTGAGCCTG